CACCGGCATTTCACTGGGCCTCAATTTCACCCATAGAGATACATACCCTAAGGGGTAAAGATACTCCATTCTTCCCAAGATCTCAACTAAACTGTAAATATTCTTTGGAGAAGGAATAATCAGCTAATGCCCTACCAGGTATTTTCTGGGAACAATCCTTGAGGCGTTCTTAGGATGAGGTAGAGACAAGAGGAGAGAAAGTGGGGTGGGTGCTGCTCTAACAAATACCTAAAACATGGAAGTGGTTTTAGAATTGGGTGATGGGTAGAGGCTGGAAGACTTTTAATGTGCCTAATAGTAAAAGCCTAGATTGCCCCAAAGAGACTGTTGGCAGAATTACTGATGTCGAAGGCAATTCTGGTAAGGGCTCAGAAGGAAGTGAGGAGAGCTATACAGAAAAGTCTCTATCACTTTTAGAGAATACATATGGCACCAGCAATAGAATGTTGCTAGAAATGCGGACATTAAATGTGCTTCTGGTGAGGTTTTAACAGAGAATGATGACTATCTGATTGGTCAATGGAAAAAGGGCGATGGTTTTTATGCAGTGACAAAGAACTTGTCTGAATTATGTTCAAATGCTTGGTGGAAGTTAGAACTTGTAAGTGATGAACTTGGATATTCAGCTGAAAAGATTTCTAAGCGAGATCTTAAAGGGGCAGCGTGGTATCTCCTTGCCACTTAGGGTAAAATGTAAGAGGAAAGAGATAGACTTAAAAATGAACTGTGCAAAATTAAAACAAAATGTAAAGATTTGGAGGATTCGGTTGTACAAACTAAGGACATTCATCCTAGAATTTTCACCAACAATGTGACTACACAATCTTTTGTAAAAGAGGTTAAACCAGTGACTAATGGATCTAACCACCTACCAAAGCAGAAAACCCATCAGCTAAGACTGAAGGGGACAGAGAATGAATGAAAGAACACTGCCTCTTAGAATTCTACAGGCAGGTAACTGACCAAAGGAGCTACATCTGTTGTCCTCCAAGAAAAGAAAAGGACATCCCTGGAGCAATTCAAAGATCAGTAGACCTGTTGGAAGGAGCACGGGAAGCAGGGCTGCCTCAGTTTCAAAGGGTGGAGTCACAGCCTCCTAGGTTTATAAGAGTCAGATCTTCACCAACTCGGTTCCAGAGGATGGGGCCGCTGCCCAAAGTTGAGGGGACAGGGCTGCCATGCCCAAAGGGCAGAAGAACAAGGCCTACTGGGGCTGGGGGGGCGGGGTTGCCACTCAGATGGACTAGGAGAATGGGAACGCCCAAAGCAGAGGGACCAAAGTTGCCATCTCAGTGAGCCTGGAAGGTGCAGCTGAATCTGAAGGACTAGGGGTTTCTACCTAGAATCCAGACAGCACAGCGAACACTCAAGAGTCTGGAAGACAGGGACACTGTCCAGATGGTCCTAAATAACAGAGGATTATTTTCAAGCCTTGAGAGCTAATGTAAATTGTTCTGCTGGGTTTTGGACTTGCTTGGTGCCCATTATCCCTTCTTTCCCCTCAATTTCTCCCATTTCTAATGGAAATGTCTACCTTGTGCCTGTTCCACCATTGTACTTTTGAAATAGATAACCAGTAGTCTAGATTTCTCAGATTCACAGATGAAGAATTTTGCCCCAGGATGGAATACGCCTAAAGTCTCAATCACATCTGAATTTAGATGATTCAGAAGATGAGATTTTGGTCTTGGAATTGATTGAAGACTTTTGGGATGATGTGATGGGGTGCATGTGTTTTGCATGTTGCAAGGACATGAATTTTGGGGGGCCAAAGGGTAGAATGTTATGGATTGAATTGTGCCCCTTCCCAAATACGTGTTGTAAATCCTAGCCTCTATGCCTAGGTTATAGTCCCATTTGGGAATGGGTTGTCTTAGTTACGTGAATGAGGCAGGATTAGTATAGGGTGTGTCTTGAGTCAATTTCTTTTGAGATACAAAAGAGATTAAACAAGCAAGCTAGAAAGCAAAGATGGGGGAAGACAGCTGCCAAGCCACATGAAGATCACCCAGTGGCAGAAGTTCAAGAGATAAGCACCTTCCACCAGAGCATGCAGAGAGAAAGCCTTCCCCTAGAGCTGGCACCTTGAATTCGAACTTCTAGTCTCCTAAACTGTGAGAAAATAAATATGTTTGTTAAGGCCACTCACTTGTGGTATTTCAGTTACAGCAACACTAGCTAACTAAAGGAGCCCTGGTGGCACAGTGGTTAAGAGCTTCGCTGCTAACCAAAAGGCCGGCAGTTCAAATTGACCAGCTGCTCCTTGGAAACACTATGGGGCAGTTCTACTCCATCCTATAGGATCATTATGAGTCGAAACCGATGCGAGGGCACTCAACAGCAGACAACTAAAACAAGGTACTTTTATACCAATGTTCACTAAAGTACTATTCAGAAGAGTCAAAAAGTGGAAACAACCCAAACTCCTATCAACAGATGCATGGATAAACAAAATGTAGTATATCTCTACAATAGAATATTATTCAGTCATAAAAAGAAATGAAGTTTTCATAAATGCTACAGTATGGATGAACCTTGAAAATACTATGCTACCTGAAAAGAGTCAGACACGAAAGGACAAATATCGTGCAATCCCATTTATATGAAATATCTACAACAGCCAAGTGTATAGAGACTGAAGTTTATTAGTGATTACCAGGGGCTGAATGTAGGGAGGAAGTGGAGTTAATGCTTAAGAGGAAATGGTTCTGCTAAGGGTGATGGAAAAACCAGGAAACTGATAGTGGTGATGGTTGCACAACATGGTGAAAGTACTTAATGTTACTGAATTGTATATGCAAAAATGGCTAAAGTAGGAAAAAGTTTTGTTATACATATTTTACCAAACACACACAAAAAAGATTAGCGTGAAATGAAACCATTTAAAAAAAAAAAAAGCAACTTAGTTTCTTGGACTCAGTGCATAAGTAAAAGAAGGGAACTTTAGCTACTATGGAGAGGAAAGTGGGCATTTCAAAAATTTCATGCCAACCTGAGGCTGAACTAACCTAAAGAAATAAAATCACATTTTAGGAACTGCAGTGTGCAAATGGACTTTTTAAGGTAATTGACTCTTGATCACATTGTTCTTAATATGAACAAAAAGGACTACTTCTACAAAAACAAATCTCAAGAATTGTAATTCTAAATAGTAAAAAAAAAAAAAAAAAGAGAGAGAGATTACGTTAATAACATTAGAATTGGCAACGATTTCTCAAACAGGACACTTAAATTGAGACACTTTATACTTTTGAAATGATATATGCAGCTGCTCCTTGACTCTTTGGTGTCAGCTGCCCGCGAGTTGATTTCAGCTGATGGCAACCACGCGTGTGCAGAGTAGAAATCCTCCACAGGGTTTTCAAGGCTGCAGCCTTTTGGTAGTAGATCACCAGGCTTGTGTTCCAGGGCACATCTGGGTGGGTTTGAACTGACGACCTTTCAACTAGTAATCTGAACCTTTTGAGACACCCAGGGACTCCCTACTCGACTGTTTAATGTCTCTACGTATTTTTCCTATGTACAATAATATCATTTTCTTGCACTTACATTCAATAGATTTGATATACACGTATGACCTTCATTCTACATTATTACATTTGGTTTAAAAAGAAACATATTTTCTAGTCATATTATAGATACCATATGTTACCAATTTAAGCGTTACCTCTTTATGCTCAAAATTCTTATAAATTATGACTTTCTAATAGTTGTGCATTTCACATTTACTTATGCAAGAGTTCTATGTAAAATAATTATTATAAAGGATGAGGTACTTTTTGCAACACTGTAGTGTGGCTGACCCTCAAGGATCTATTCAAGTATTTAGATTAGTTTTGGGGTCAAAGCGGTTAGCAGCCGAGTGCTAAACCACTGCACTACCAGGGCTCCTCTTCAGTACACATGCCTCCTATTTTGCCCTCATTCCTAATATTCGTTGTTCTGACATTGGGAATATGAATAGCTTTTGTTTCAAGAAGTCTTCAACCTATTAAGCACAGTTCTTTAGTAGCAAAAATTGTGGTTGAATCACCAGCATCCAATCCGGCACAGATCCTGTCTCAGCCAAGCTTTAAGATCTTAGACAAACCATGGGTGTGCGATCTCGATAAGCCCCTCATTGCCTATATTAGGCTTGTTCAGCCACATCACATTTACCTACAGACCAACTAGGATTGGTCATATTGTTTCTCACACAGTCATGACAAAAATTCTGCCGTACAGCCAAAGAAATTCCAGGAAAAGTTCCTGTATTTTCCTCCTGAATTTGGGATAAATTTGGGATAGCTATGAGAGAAACACGTGGCAGCCTGCTTCTGTAAAGATTACAGGCTTGGAAACCCTACGGGGCAGTTCTACTCTGTCATATAGGGTGGCTATGAATCAGAATCGACTTGAGGGCAACGCGTTTTTTTGTTTGCTTGTTTGTATGGTCCTAAATCCACCTAGTCATTTCCAATTCATGCTTCTAAATTCTTCATCTATCTTAAATACCTACAACCACCAAAGTCGGGGAGGATATATTCCTCACCACAATCTTACTTTTTGTATGAACAGCAACAGTCAAAAAAAGTGCTGCCTGATGAAGTACAACGGGAGCGTTTTGAGCGGCGCAATGGACAGGGTGGGAGCAGGGCATTTAGACTCAGGCCAACTACCCTGAGCGTCCAAGAGCTTCCCGACTCTGCATTGCTCACAAATTCCCAGGGGAAGCTGACGCTGCTGATCTGAAAACCACACTTTGCTCAGCGGGATTCCCACGATTTTACCTGTTAATCCCCCGAGAGACACAGCGCCACCTACCTACCCGGCTTCCCAACCCCGGTAGTTCAGAAAGCAGCGGCGCCCCGGGGCCGGGATATCCAAGGAGGCGGCTGGAAAGCGGCGGCTGGAGGCCCCGGCACAGCCCGGCTACAGGAAGTCCCGCGGCTCTCGGAAGGCGCAGAAGCCAGGAGTGAGCAAGAGAGCGGGAGCAGAGCCCTAAGCCCCGTGGGGTGTACCTGCTACTGGAGCACGCGGGATATAGACAAATGCAAAACCCACCTCACGTCAGAGCTGGCGGGCGACCAAACAAGACTGCCCGCCCTAAGCCTAGCACTTCCGCTTCCGGTTTCTGGCGCTTTTGGTGCCAACGGGGAGGGGTTTCCTGCGCGGACCCGGAGGGCTCCGCCTAGTGACCGTGGAGTTTAATGCCTTTGCCTTGGGCTTGGATGTCTGTCCACCGCTCTTTATTTCCTCTGTAAAGCCTAGGTTTTCTGAAATGTGTACCTTAAAGACAGATTTCAGTAGGCAAAGATTTCTGATACCCTTGGGGAGCAAAGGAAGATGTATTTGAATACTTGGCCGTTTGAAAATAAATTTTTACCATGTCCTTTAGAGAAATAATTTGGTTACTGCTCATATAAATTTGCCCATGTTTAGAATTGTTAAACGTGTCTACTTTGGCTTCTGTTTCATGGTCTGTCTTCTCTTGCACATCAAGTATCTTTTCCTAGGAGCGGGATACCGACTCTGCAAACCCAGTCTGATCTCTCCAAGAGCTGAGAACCTTTCAGAGAGGCATTTTCCAGGATGAGAGGCAGGACGATACCAGTTGTTCTGGGGGACAGTAGGTAAAAGGTGAAGTACCTTTAAAAATGACAATTATAAACAATTTTTACTTTTTTCTAAGGCACACAGACATAATAAAGTGCATAATGTATACTAATCTTGAGAGTACAACGCCATCAATTTTTAGATCTGGATATACACTCATATAACCTCTTCTGACATCAAGTTATGGAAATTTTCCAGCACACAAGAAGATTCCCTGGTGCCCTTTTCCTAGCTGATGTACACTCCAGGAGTAACCAGTGTTCTGACTATTACTGCTAGAGACAAGATTTGTCTATTCTTGGACTTCATATAATCGGAATCATACTGTATGAAGTGTATTCTGTCTGATTTCATCTAGTCAACATAATGTCACATTTTACCTATGTTGTTGCATATAGCAGTAATTTGTTCTTTTTTGTCGCTGTGGTTTATTCATATGGATTTATTCCAATACAACAACGTTTCTTATTTATTCATTTTATTCTGTTGTTAATGTTTGTATTATAACCAGCATGTGGTCTATCTTGCTGAGTATTTAATGATCACTTAGAAACAATGTGTCTTCTGCTGTTGTTGGGTGGAGTTTTCAATAAATGTTAATTAGGTCAGGATAGTTGATGGTTTTGTTCAGGTCTTCCATATCTTTTCTGACTTCCACATCCTTGTGATTTTTTTTTTTTTTTTTTTCTATTTCACCTTCCATTTTTCCTTCATATATATTGAAGTTCTGTTGTTAGGTATATACACATTTCAGATTGTCATGTCTTCTTGTTGAATTTCCCTTTTATCATTTTGCAATGTCCTTCATCACCTCTGCTGATTGTCATTCTCACCTCCTCACCCCTTACTAATTAAATGGTCTTTGTCTGACAGTGTGGAGGTTGGTTTCCATTATGTGCAATTTGTCTATGTATTTGTTCAACCCTGGTACACATGTAATTTCACATTTGCTAAACAATACTGCTCTGAAAAACAAATGTACCAACTAAAGCAGTATTTCTCTGCAGTTTTTCTTGTATTTAGCCTTACAGTTTCCAGAAAATTACGGTCTCCAAAGTTCTTTAGGTTAGCCCCTTTTTTCCACACCACTGTCAGGGAGGTTATGCTATATATATGTAATAGAGTCAGATTCTTTTATCACAGTTTGCTTTCCACTCTGGGATACACAAATATCCTGGATGATTTTTACAAAATTGCGTATACCATAGTCCACTCTTTGTAATGTATATTTTGTGGTTTTGACAAATGCTTACTGTCATGTAAACACCAAGATTATAACCATACAGAGGAGTTCTATTACCAAAAAATACCTTTGTGAAGGCTCTTTCAAATACTATTTATAGTCCATTTTTCATTTCAATTTCGACCTTACATTTTAAGTTTAAACCGATCACTTTCTTCCTCTCTGTCTATCTTGGTACAGAAGTGGAGAATGTGGAATTTAATTTTTAAGACTGACTCATCTTCAACCCTCTTTGTCAAAATGGAGGAGACCCAAGGCTTTAGAGGAAAATTTGTGGTTTTCTTAACCTCACAATAATAAATACAAAGCATCAAATCTCTTGCATTTTGAGGAACGTTGTTGTTAACTGCCATCAAGTCGACTCTCGACCCCTAGTGACCCCCTGTGACAGAGCAGAACTGTCACATAGGGTTTCCAAGGCTGCAAAATTTATGCAAGCAGATCAGCAATCATTCTCCCACAGAGCCACTGGGTAAATTTGAACCGCCAACCATTTGATTAGCAGTCAAGGGCCTAACTGTTATGCACTGGGATGTAAAACATAAAAAAAATCTGGAAAATATAAGAACCTATACTACTATATCTTAATTTTTTTAATTTTGCATAAATTTATTATTCTTGTTTTGTGCTAAGAACCATGTTTGATGTGATAAGTATTTTCAGCAGTATGATTTGAGTTTATTAGTCTTGTCATCAGTTAGGACAGACTCTTTTTAGAAACATCCATTCTGGTGAATCTTGCAATTAAAAAGTGCTAGGAAATTGGGGGCAATAATTATGAGGTGCCTTCCTTGAAGACAGAAATAGAAAGGCCTGATGAATGGTCTCAAATTGTTGTAGAGTATAAATATGTATAATAAGACAGGAAAGAAAGAAAAGACCAAAATGAATGTCAGAAGGGACTCTGAAATTTGCTCTTGAATATCGAGTAGCTAAAACAAATGTCTAAGTTATGATGAAGTAAAAGAGCTAAACAGAAGATGTCAAAGGGTGGCTCGAGAAGACAAAGTAAAGTATTATAATGACATGTGAAAAGGCCTGGAGTTAGAAAACCAAAAGGGAAGAACACACTCAGCATTTTTCAAGCTGAAAGAACTGAAGAAAAAAATTCAAGCCTCCAGTTGCAATACTAAAGGATTCTATGGGCAAAATCCTAAATGATGCAGGAGGCATCAAAAGAAGATGGAAGGAATACACAAAGTCACGGTACTAAAAAGAATTGGTCTATGCTCAATCATTTCAGGAGGTACCATATGATCAAGAACTGATGGTATTGAAGGAAGAAGTCCAAGCTGCACTAATGACACTGGCAAAAAACAAGGCTCCAGGAATTGACGGAATACCAATTGAGATGTTTCAACAAATGGATGCAGTGCTGGAAGTGCTTACTTGTCTATGCCAAGAAATTTGGAAGACAGCTACCTGGTCAACCGACTGGAAGAGATCCATATTTGTGCCCATTCCAAAGAAAGGTGATCCAACAGAATGCAGAAATTATCGAACAGTATCGTTAATAACACATGCAAGTAAAAGATCATTGCTGCAAATCATTCAAAAGTGGCTGCAGCAGTGTATCAACAGGGAACTGCCAGAAATTCAAGCTGGATTCAGAAGAGGATGTGAAACCAGGGATATCATTGCTGATGTCAGATGGATCCTGGCTGAAAGCAGGTATACCAGAGAGATGTTTACCTGTGTTTTATCAACTATGCAAAGGCATTCGACTGTGTGGGTCATAACGAATTATAGATGACATTGCAAAGAATGGAAACTCCAGAACACTTAATTGTATTCATGAGAAAACTGTACATAGATCAAGAGGCAGTCATTCGAACAGAACAAGGGGATCCTGCCTGCTTTAAATTCAGGAAAGGTGTGTGTCATCGTTGTATCCTTTCACTATATTTATTCAATCTGTATGCTGAGCGAATAATCCGAGAAGCTGCACTATATGAAGAAGAACAACGGGGTATCAGGATTGAAGGAAGACTCATTAACAACCTGCGTTATGCAGATGACCCAACCTTACTTGCTGGAAGTGAAGCTCTCCTGACTTACTTCTGAGCCCTCACCAGAATTGTCTTTGATGTCCATAATTCCACCTACAGTCTCTGCAAGGCAATCTAGGCTTTTACTATTGTTGTTGTTAGGTGCCATGGAGTCAAACTGGAATGAAACGCTCCTGGTCCTGTGACATCCTCACAATCTTTGCTATGCTTCAGTCCATTGTTGCAGCCACTGTGTCAATCCATCTCATTGAAGGTCTTCCTCTTTTTCACTGACCTTCCACTTTACCAAGCATTATGTCCTTCTCCAGGGACTAGTCCCTCCTGATAACATGTCCAAATTATGTGAGACAAAGTCTCACCATCCTTTCTTCTAAGGAGCATTCTGGCTTTACTTCTTCTAAGACAGATTTGTTCGTTCTTCAGGCAGTCCATGGTATATTCAATATTCTTCACCAACACCATAATTAAAAGCCATCAGTTCTTCTTTGCTCTTATTTGTTGTCCAGCTTTCACATGCATGAGTGGCTTGCATTTCCTGGCTACCTGGTCTTGACAACTTCAATATTTTCTATGTTTATCATGATGTTGCTTATTGGTCCAGTTGTAAGGATTTTTGTTTTCTTCATGTTGACAGATAATCCATATTGAAGGCTGTAGTCTTTGATCTTCATCAGTAAGTGCTTCAAGTTCTTTTCATTTTCAGCAAGCAAAGTTGTGTCATCTGCATAATGCAGGTTGTTAATGCATCTTCCTCCAACCCTGATGCCATGTTCTTCTTCATATAGTCCAGCTATTCAGATTATTTGCTCAGCATACACGTTGAATAGCTATGGTGAAAGGATATAATCCTGACGCATACCTTTTCTGTCTTTCAACCACACAGTATCCCCTTGTTCTGTCCAAACAACTGCCTCTTGGTCTATATACAGGTTCCACATTAGCACAATTAAGTGTACTGGAATTCCCATTCTTTGCAATGTTATCCATAATTTGTTGTAATCAAAACAGTCGAATGCCTTTACGTAGTCAAGAAAACATAGGTAAACATCTCTCTGGTATTCTCTGCTTTCAGCCAAGATCCATCTGACATCAGCAATGATAGCCCTCATTCCATGTCCTCTTCTAAATCTGGCTTGAACTTCTGGCAGTTCTTTGTCAATGTACTGTTGCAGCTGCTGTTCAATGATCTTCAGCAAAATTTTACTTGCATGTGATATTAATCCTTCATGCGTCTGTCAGTTTGTCGTACTGTGGGGGTTTGCATGTTGCTGTGATACTGGAAGCTATACCACTGGTATTCAAATACCAGCCAGGTCACCCATGGCGGACAGGTTTCAGCTCAGCTTCCAGACAAAGACAGACTAGGAAGAAGGACCTGGTGGTCTATTAATGATATTTTTTGATAATTTCTGAATTCTGTTGGATCACCTTTCGTTGGAATGGGCACAAATACAGATCTCTTCTAGTCAGTTGGCCAGGAAACTGTCTTCTAAATTTCTTGACATAGAGGAGTGAGCACTTCTGGTGCTGCATCCGGTTGTTGAAAACAGCTGAATTGGTATTCCGTCAGTTCCTGGAGCCTTGTTTTCACCATTCCCTTCAGTGCAGCTTGGACATCTTCCTTCAGTACCATCAGTTTTTGATCATATGGTACCTGCTGAAATGGTTGAACGTCGACCAATTCTTTTTGGTACAGTGACTGTGTGTATTCCTTTTACCTTATTTTGATGTTTGCTGCGTCATTCAGTATTTTCCCTGTAGAACCCTTCAATATTGCTAGTCGAGGCTCAAACTTTTCCTTCAGTTCTTTAAGCTTTAGAAATGCCGAGCGCGTTCTTCTCTTTTGGTTTTCTAACTCCAGGTCTTTGCACATTTCATTACAATATTTTACTTTGTCTCGTCCAGCTGCCCTTTGAAATCTTCTGTTTAGCTCTTTTACTTTACCATTTTTTCTATTTGCTTTAGCTACTCGATGTTCAAGAATAAGTTTCATAGTCTCTTTTGACATCCATTTTGATATTTTCTTTCTTTCCTGTCTTTTTAATGACCTTTTGCTTTATGTATGATGTCCTTGATGTCATTCCACAACTCATCTGGTCTTTGGTCATTAGTGTTCAATTGGTCAGATCTATTTTTGAGATGGTCTCTGAGTTCAGGGGGGATATACTCAGGGTCTAACTTTGTGTCTCGTGGACTTGTTTTAATTTTCTTCAGCTTCAACTTAAACTTGCATACAAGCAATTGATGATCTGTTCCGCAGTCAGACCATGCCCTTTGTCTGACTGATGATATTCAGCTTCTCCATTATCTCTTTCCACAGATGTAGTCAATATTATTCTTGTGTATTCCACCCCAGTGAGGTCCATGTGTATAGTCGCCATTTATGTTGTTGAAAAAAGGTATTTGCAATAAATAAGTTTTGGTCTTGCAAAATTTTATCATGCCATCTCCAGTGTCATGTCTATTACCAAGGTCATATTTTCCAAATTCTGATGCTTCGTTTCCTAGTTTTGCATTCCAGTCACCAGCAATTATCAAAGCATCTTGACTGCACAGTTGATCAGTTTCAGATTGCAGAATTTGGTAAAAATCTTCAGTGTCCTCATCTTTGACATTAGCTGTTGGTGCATGAGTTTAAATAATAGTTGTATGAACAGATCTTCCTTGTAGGCATATGGATATTATCATATCGCTGACAGCACTGTACTTCAGGATAGACCTTGAAATGTTCTTTTTGCCAATGAATGTGACACCACTCCTCTTCAATTTGTTATTCCAGACATAGTAGACCATATGATTGTCCAATTCAAAATGGCCAATACCAGTCCATTTCAGCTCTCTAATGCCTAGGATATCGGTCTTTTTGTGGTCCTTTTCATTGACTATATCAAATATACCATGGAATGCCAGAAGAATGAACATATCTGTCTCGGAAGAAGTACAGCCAGAATGCTCCTTGGAAGCAAGGATGGTGAGACTTCATCTTACGTACTTTGGACATGTTATCAGGAGGGACCAGTCTCTGGAAAAGGACCTTATGCTTGGTAAAGTGGAAAGTCAGCCAATAAAAGGAAGACCCTCAACGAGACTCATTGACACAGTGGCTGCAACAATGAGCTCAAGCATAACAATGTTCTTCTTTACAGGGTTGCTATGAGTCAGAACCTACTGGACGGCACCTAACAACAACATAATGATAAAAGCATGAATTGAATTAGAATATATAATAATCCAAAATGTGCATACTCTTATCAGCAGAGCTTCAACATATATGAAGGAAAAATAACAGAGCTGAAAGATGAAATAGGAGAAACATCACAAGGACGTGGAACTCAGCAAGCATATAGAAGACCTGAACACTACCATCAGCCAAGTTGACCTAATTGACATTCATTGAACACTCCACCCAACAACAGCAGAAACACGTTATTTCCAAGTGCTCATTAATCATTCAGCTGTCATATATACGTGTGTGTGTGCGCATAACAGGTTATAATTGTTAAGGTTATAATACAAACCTTAAAAAGTGATTAATTTTTAAAATATTGGTATATTTATACAATGTAATACTACATAGTGGCAAACAAGAACAAATACCTATAACATGTAACCACATAGATAAAATCTCACTTGTTGAGTAGATGAAGTCAGACACCACAGAGTTCATGCAATATGCTTCCAATTACATGAAGACCAAGAACATGCAAAACCTGTCTCTGGGGATAAGAGAACACTGGTTACTCCCAAGGACAATATCACTTGGGGAAGTGATATTATCAATTGGGGATCTCAGAGGTGGTTTTATGAGTGTATATACATATGTAAAAATTCATCGCATTGTACATTTAAGATTAGTTCACTTTATGCAATTTACTATATGGGTTATGCCTGATAAAAAATAGCAAAAGCTGTTTATAATTGTCATTTTTAAAAGCACTTCACCGTTTACATACTGTTCCTCACAACGACTGGTATCTGCCTGTCTCTTGCCCTGGAAAACGTCTCTCCCAAGTTCCTCAGCTCTTGGAGAGATCTGACTGCGTTTGCACAGTCGTTGCCCTGCTCCTGCGTAAAGACACGCGCTATACAAGAGAAGACAAACTTTGAAACAGAGGCCAACACCTCACACTTCCACGATTCTAAAGATGGGCAAATATTTATGAGGAGTAAACAAATTATTTCTCTAAAGAACATGGTAAAATTTTTTTCAAATGGCCAAATATGCAAATACCAACTTTCTCTGCTCCCCGAAGCGTATTAGAAATCTTTTACTACTGAAATCTGCCTATCAGCTTCTATACGCATTTCAGAAAAACTAGGCTTTTCTCTACAGAGGAAATACAGACAGCAGTGGACAGATCACAAGACCAAGGCGAAGCCATCGAACCCCACTGTCACTCGGTGGAGCTCTCTGGGTCTGTGCACGGAATCCCTCTCCTTCGGAACCTGGGGGAAAAAAACCAAACCCGTTGCTGTCCAGTCGATTCCGCCTCATAGCGACCTTATAGGACAGAGTAGAACTGCCCTATACGGCTTCCAAGGAGCACCTGGTGGACTCAAACCGCCGACCTTTACGGTTAGCAGCCGTAGATCTTAACCACTACGCCACCAGGGGTTCCTTTCAGCACCCAGCGCCCAGAAACCGGAAGCAGAAGTGCGTGTCTTCCGGCTGGCAGCGTGTTTGACCGAGTCCCTGTGAGGTGGGCGTTTTGCCTGTCGGCGTCCTTCGTGGTCCAATACTCCTGTCCCGGGGTCTAAAGGCGCTGTCCCCGCTCTCCTGCGTAGTGCTGGCCTCTCCGCCCTCCCTGGGCTGCTCCAGAGCCTCGCGACTTCCAGTGCCAGCTGTGTCCGGAGCCTGCCGCTGCCGCCGCCGCCGCCTGGTCTGAGAACTCGGGCCGCCTCGCCCGCGCCCTCCTGGACTGCAGCTGTGTTGTGCACGGCCTGGGCTGCACCTTGTCTCTCGGCGCGTTAACAGGTAAAGTCGTGTAAACCCTCGCTGAGCAAAAGTGTGGTTCCCAGACCTGCAGCGTCAGCTCCTCTGGGAGTTTGTGAGAAATGCAGAATCACGGGCCTCACGGAATCCCAGGGTAGTTAACCCTGAGTCTAGATGCCTTGCTCCCTTCCTCCTCCAGTCCGCCGCTCACCAGGCTCCCCTTTGTTTTCTGTGCTTCATTAAAGCAGGACCTTTGTTAAGCATTGCTGCTCAGACAAAAAGTAAGTTTATGGGGAGTAATATATCCCCCCTACTTTAATGGTTATAGGTGTTTAAGGTAGATGAAGAATTAAGAACCATGAGTTGGAACTGGTACGTGCATTTAAAACCATGTTTTTTCCAATTTCAGGAGGAGAATATTTAGTAAGAGGCACATTTTAAGGAATTTCTTTGACTGTAATGCAGACATTTTTGTCATGATTGTGTGAGAAACCATATGATCAACTGTAATATGTTCTGTAAAATGTGATGTGGGTGAACAAGCTTAATATAGGCGATGAGGGATTTATTGAGATCACGCACTCAGTGTGTTTGTCCAAGATACTAAGGCTTGGCTGAGGCAGGATCTGGGCGGGATTGGATGCTAGTGACTCAGCCACAATTTTTGCTACCAAAGAGCTACGCTTTTTAGTAGATTGAAAGCTTCTTGGAGCGAAAGCCATGCATATTCCCAATGTTAGAACAGCGAATATTAGGAATGAGGGCAAAGTAGGAGGCATGTGTAATAAAACTAATCAGAATCCTTAAACAGATCCTAGAGGGTCAGCCATGCTACAGTGTTACAAAAAGTACTTTTATCCTTTGTAATGATTATTTTACCAAGAACTATTGTTTAAATAAACTTGAAATGTGCAACTGTTAGGAAGTCAAGATTTATAGTAAGTAATTTTGAACATGCAGAAGTAAAGTTTAAAATGATGAGTAAATAATGTGTGTGACACCTGTAATATGACTAGAGAGAATGTTACTTTTTAAGCCAAATGTAATAATGTAAAATGAAGGTAGTATGTGTATATCAAACCTATTGCATGTAAGAGCAACAAAAGGATATAATTTTGTTGAGAACAGAGAACAAAAGAGGAAAAAATACATAGACACTAAAGAGTCAAGCAGCAGCTGCATCTATCATTTCAAAAATTTGAAGTGTCTAAATTTAAGTGTTCTATTTGAAAATCTTGGCTAACTTCAGTGTCATTAGCGAATCTCTATTTTTACTATTTAGACTTACAATTCACTGGAATTTTTGTTATGCAAGTAGTCCTGTTTTTTTTCCCCCATATTAATAACATGGTGATCCAGATCCAAGTACCTTAAAAAGTCTATTCTTTCTACACTGCAGTTGCTCAAATGTGATTTTCTCTCTCAAGGTTAGCATGGAGTAAAGTTTGCCATGAGTTGGAATCGACTTTACGCGCACAACGACAAAAACAAGGTTGGCATGAAATCTTTGAAATATCCACTTACCTCCCTATATCCCCATAATATCTATATTTCTCTCCTTTTAGATACACACTCAGACCAAGAAACTAAGTTTCTTTTTTTGTTTTAATGGGGTCATTTCATGTTATCTTTTGTGTGTGTGTGGTAAAAATAGATAACAAAACATTCGCTATTTCAACTGTTTACATGGAAGATTCAGTAGTATGAATTACTTCCATCACGTCTACTACCATCACCCCATCAGCTTCCAGTTTTTCCATCACCCTTAGCAGAAACTCGGTGCCTCTTAAGTGTTAACTCCCCTCCTCCCTCCCATCTGCCCCTGGTAACCCTTAGGTCTTTATACATTTGCCTAGTCTAGATATTTCATTTCCATGGGATTGTGTAATATTTTTCCTTTTGTATCTGATTTATTTCCCTTAGCATAGTGTTTTCAAGGTTCATCCACATCATAGCGTTTATGAGAACTTCATTTCTTTTTGTTACTGAATAATACTCCATTGTATGAATGTACTACATTTTGTTTATCCATGCATCTGTTGATGAACAGTTGAGTTGTGTCTACTTTTTGGCTATTATGAATAGTGCTGCAGTGAACATTGGTGTAAAAGTAACTGTGTCCCTGCTTTCAAGCCTTTTGGGTGTATACCTAGGAGTGGAAATTTATGGGTCATATGGTAGCTGTAAATGGAAATTTATGGGTCATATGGTAGCTATAAATGGAAATTTATGGGTCATATGATAGTTGTATGTTTAACTTTTGAAGAACTGCCAGACTGTTTTCCACAGAGGGTGCACCATTTTATAATCCCACCAACAATTTTTCCACATTCTCCCCAACTCTTGTTGTTTTTTGGTTTTCTGATAGTAGCCATCCTAGTAGGTGGTATCTCATGGTGGTTTTGATTTACATTTCCCTAATGACTGATGGCATAGAGCATCTTTCCATGCGTTTGTTGCCCATTTGAATATTTTCTTTGGTGAAATGTCTATTTAAGTATTTTGCCCATTTTTAAAATAGTTTATCTTTTTGTTGTCGAGTGGTAAGAATTCTTTATATTTCCTGGTTACTAAACCCTATCAGATACATCATTTCTAAATATTTTCTCTTATCGTGTAGGTTGTCTCTTCACTTTATTGATAAAATCTTCTGATGACTAAAATTTTTAATTTGAGGAAGTCCAATTTATCTCTTTTGTCTTTTGTTGCTCGTGCTTTTGACATCATATCTAAGACTCCATTGTTTAAAACGATGCGGAGAAAATAAATGTTCACTTTTTTAAATTGTGAAAACATTGCATGTTTCAAAAATTTTTTAAAAGTTTAGAGGAAAAATGATCATTAAACATGACTTCAAATCGAACATCTGTGGAAAAATGTGGTGCATTTATTTTTTCTTTGCATTTTTAGAGATCAGTATTCTAGAAGTGCTCCCTTTTCAGACTGGCGTTCCCTTGGAGTCATGACTGGTAATGTAGTCACTTTGTTACCTGAAGCAGGTCCTGCCCCGTGCAGCTTCTCAACAATAGACACAGTGAGGTGAGGAGGGAGGAAGAGCATCTATTGCAAGTGCACAGGCAAGGAGCAAGGAGGTGTATACCTCAAATCTGGCTCCCCGAACAAAGGGAGGAAGAACCTTTTATACCGTCCTTCACAAGGAAGTACAAACATCATGGACTACATAGATTATCATGTCTTGCAAGCGCAGTAAGACAAATTACTTTTTTTCCTCTTTAATATGTTCAGAAAATGATGGTTAAGTCCCACCCTGAGTGGAGATCTTAACATTAAGTTAGGTCTTAATGATGCTTAGGTTACTTTGGGATACTTTTGAGGCTAGTAAACAGGGTTTGCCTGGTTTAAGGCAGGAACTGAGCCACACAAAGCACTCAGGGTCTTTGAGGACAGTGGACAGGATGGGGCAGGTTCTGTTTGATAATGGCTGAGCAGCTGCTAATTGAGTCATGTACAGCGCTGTCTATCACTTAAGGTTTTGATGATAACAGACAGGAGGAGGTCTTGCTTGCTAATGGCTGAGCAGCTGCTGGCTGCTCTGGCTATCAACTTCCTATCAAATTCAAACCTTCATTCAAAACTGCTGAACTTTCCTGGTTCGGAATCTAAAAGTTGCCCGTCAGATAACATCTCAGTATTGGCTTACATTTCCTAAAGGCCTAATACATGTCAGAACTATGCTTTTTCTTTCCTCTAGCTTGAAGCTTCAGAAGTGGGAATGGGCCCTGTTTCAGAGGTCACAGTTTGATTTTTCATTTCTAGGAGGAGGCAACCTACAGGTTGAGGTATGGAATCTTGAGTACCAGTAGACTCAGAGACCAAACCCTTCCCATAGTCCACCTCGGGCATGAAGGACTATATGGCTCTGAAACTTAACATATCCAAAACAGCTTTCTAGTCTCACCGCAGCAAATCTGCTTCTCACCTGGCTTTCCCATATCAGTAAATGGTACCAGCATCCATTCATTAGATTGGGAGATATACTCAGTCCACCACTATCCTCTTTTTCTCTCACCTTCCACCTTCAGGAAAGCACCAAGTCCTGTTGGTTTAGAACCAAAATATAACCACCATCTTCTTGGCTGCAACCCTAGTCCAAGCTACTCTGAGAGATGTCCCTTAGGAAAACAGATTCTGAACTTTCTCCTACTTTTTCTTTTGTCACAAGAAGGTATAATCTCCACCTGACAGCAAGAGGCATATTTCAAAAAAATGTATACCAAGTAAGCTATCAATCACATATAGAATAAAATCCACGTTTTACATTGGCCAACAAGAGCCTACATGTTCAGGCTTATGTATGGCTCTTTGACTTAAATTTATAACACTTGCCTCATGTTAAGTAAGCTCTCGACACATTTTTTAAAAAGTACAAAGATGTCAAGATTTTTCCTGCCTTTCATCCTTTTGCACCAGGTATTTCCTGTGATTAGAGGAAAACTTTTTTACCATAGGCATCCCATTATTAATTCAGGTCTAATTGCAAATGTCACCTCAGAGAGTCCTCCTCTGTCCCCTTTGTTATTCCCACTCATTTCTGTATTTAAATATCATTGCAGTTTTCAGAAATTAGGTTGACATTAATCTTAATCATGTCAATATAACCAAATTATATTGAATGTTACCTTTGCTTTTATCTACTCTCTTTCCCTATGTGACAGGTTTCCAGCAGACAAAAAGCTGTGAAGCTCTGCATTGTGGTGATGGCAGCCTTCACACCCTCTCTGCTGTGTTGATCAGTTAGGGTTCTGTTGAGTCCACTAGAGCTGCGATGTCCACTAGCCAGATGTGGCTATTGCAATTAAAATTAATTAAATGTAAAATAAAATATTCCGTTCCTTAGTTGCACTAGTCACGTGTTAAGTGCTGACTATCCACGTGTGGCTAGTTGCTTCCATATTGGTCTATGCAGAGACAAAACATGACTATCTTCAAAGAAAATTCCACTGATAGTGCCACTCAAGAGTATCTACAACGGGTGGTAATCTGTGTTTGTGATTATTCTGTGTGTGACCCCAATTATCCGTGTCGTAGGCGGGAAGGAACAAGAAAAGAAAATACAGAGCGTCTGCCTATAGATTTACAGTCTAGCATGGGAGACAGTTTTAAATAAATAATGAAAAATCAGAGACATCTGATACCTGTAATAAAAGGACCTGACCTGAGAATCAGGTTAGACGACTTGAAGGGGAAAATCATTTCAGTGAAGATTCATAAAGTGCTATATACATAGTTAGCTATATACATGAGCAGGGTTGATAGCATGTGGGGTGGGTGGGCATGGAAAGACTATTTCAGTTGGGAAAAGTGAGCGTGTAAATCTCTGAAGCAGCAGAGAATGCATTGTTATCCATTGCTTGATAAAAGAGAGAATGCATTATTACCCATTGCTTGATAAAAGAGGTGATTGGAGCAAAGAAAACAAAGTGTGGGTGGGAGGTTGAGGGGTGCTGTGTGAGCCAGACTGGAGGAGGCAATGGCAGCAGGTCGTTCAGAACCATGCTGACTATTCTGGGCTTTTTGAAGGTCAGGGGACAGCCTCTGATGGGCATTAAGCAGGGATGGGTGTGAGTGTATTTCTATTTAAAACAGAACATTCCAGTTCCTGTACTGCAAATAGATTTTGGAAATGACAACCATGAATGAATGATGTCAAGCAGGACCTTGTTATGAACAAGTTAAGGAAGACTGTGAGGTGGCCTAGACATGGAGATTGTTTATAGGTCAGGAAGATAGTGGATGATATACTGTAAATGTAGATAGTTCAAAGGGCATCTCAGTTGATAGAATGCTCATTCCTTGAGTTACAGGCTATACAGCAGTGAATGCTTCTCAAAGTTGAATGTGGATGTGGATAACCAGGGTGCATTAAAATGCAGATTTTTATTTAGCAGGTCTAGGGTGTAGCTTGAGAGTCTATGTATCAAGCTCCCAGTTTATGCTGAAAATAAGCATAGAAATAAAGTTGTGAATTAAAATTAGTGCTGTGAGACAAAATAATAAAAGGAAAGATAATACTTAAAGGGGAAACACTGATATAACGGTCATGTGAGAAAGAACATTTACACCGAGATCAAGAAATAAAAGTGAGAGTCCGCTGGATAGGGGAGCTGGGTGGGAGGGGGGGATGGGAACCAAAGCAGGAGAGGGCTCCTTAGAGAAAACTTAATGATTGTCTGATTTATTTGTCAATCAATTTATTATAATTGTGAAAGAGAAAGTGTTAGGAATCTTCCCAGATTTCTTGAAAGCTTGGGAACTGGTGGTGGTATGGTCTGAAAGGAAAAAAAAAAAAAACTCAAGGGTAATAATGAAATTGCAAAATCAGCAGGAAAAATACTGATCACATATTGCAATGGTATATATGAGGGTTAAAAAACAAAAGCAAAGCTCAGTAGAAGAGATTTAATTGCACATAGTTAAAAATCATTGAAACATGATGAGTGCATTGACCAAACTTTAAAAATATGTTCTTCCTGAAAATTCACCCACGTTGATATCAAATAACTGTATGTGTTGATCTACAAGGGGCAAAGTTACATAGGTGAACAAACGCATCCATGAACCCCTGAGTGCCTGGAGAAAATCAGGTTCAAGTTTACCAGCCTTGCCCTGGATGTTTCTCATGCTCTGGAATGAGTAAATTCCTCCATCTGTGATGTTGTTGCCAAATGAAGAGGCTTGAGTAGCTGTGTGAAGAATGCAGGTGTGTGCTCTGGAAGGCTGGAGCCTGATCTGCATTGAATGCAAATGCCCTTAGGATGGAGCATGGCCTTGAGCCTGGGAAGAAGCCCTACCCAGGGAAAGAACTGAAGGCCAAGGACCTGTCACTCCCTCCTTACTCAACACTGTCTCCCCCCCACCCCCCATCTTCTTCCATTTCAGGTCCCAGGTGGCACAGAGAGAACTAGTCCAGTCTAAGCAGTTGGTTACCTAGGGCGACTGTCTTACTTATCCTTGTTATCACAAGTAAGGTTTCAGCTGCTCTGACTGACTGTGTGGACCAAACATTATTCATCTGCCTCCAGACTGCCCGGTGGCTCTGCTTCCACTCCCATCCATCTCACTTAAGTGGCTTCTTGGGCTCTGAGAGGACATTCACTTAACTTCCAGAAGCTGGAGCAAGGACATGGTGAGTACCACAGAGAAATGGATAATTCTTAGTATAAGGGGGTGAGGCTAAATATGATTTGGTGGGGGACCACCTGTGTGCACCATGTTCTGTGTTTCTGTGAGATAAAAGGTGGCAGAGGAGGCCGAGACTAAATTCTAAGAGGCATCCTGAGGCCCTGCTCCACCTTCACTAGGCCCTTCCTCAATACATACGTAGTCTTTCAAGGCTTGGATGCCTGGGGTTACCTTTCATATGTGACTCTCAGAGCTATCACCCTGGGCCTCAGTGCTCTGTGTTCAATGACAGAATGTTCTGAGTGGAACATGAAGATGGAGCAGCTCTGGCTGAGGAGGCTAAGCCCCAGGCCCTCCAGAGCCATCATGTTCCATCACTGCACACAGTGTTCTTGACTTCCCCCAGGCAGTTCTGTGCAGTTCTAACACTGCAGGTCCACCATTCTCTCTGTGTGATGGAGTAATAAGGGAGGAGAGAGTTATTTGGGGAAGGACCCTGGCTCTTTATGGTCCTGTCTGAGGTTTAGCACTGTCATGACCTCAGCACGGGAATGAGGCAGGAGAGTGAGTCCAGCTGGATCATGTCTGGAGTCTCCAAAACCATCGTTTTTTCCAGTGGGGAATAGTTTTGCTTGAGTCTTTCAGGTGTGTGAGAAGCGTGATACCCAGTCCAGGTCCGTGTCTTCCCAGGCTCTCTGTGCCTAGAGCTAGTATGACATTTCTAAAGTTTCTGACTGCTTCCCACAGTCTTGGATTAAAATCTAAAAGTTTTTGTTTTTTTTTTTCAACTAAAGCAGCTCAGGATATGAGGTGGTGATTTGTCCTGCTTGGCCTTCAGCTGGGGCAGCACTACAGGTGTAACCTGGAGTCACGTGGGTAAAGCAGGCCCTAAACACTCTTGGAAAGGCTTGGTTCAGGTTCCCAAAAAATAGGCATGAAGGCCAGGTTGATTGGAGTAAAGGGTTTTAATTAGCGGAAACTTACGGAAGGGCAGCTCAGATTCCCATGGGGGAAACTGCAAAGCACTGGTCATTAACTTAGGTTATGACATTGGAGTGCACTGGGGGCTTTGTTCTACCGCTTATTACTCAAAGAGTGGGCAATTACAAAGGGGGAAAGGAATGTGATACCAGCACCGCAGGAGGAGTGCCACAGGGGGAAGGGAGGGGAAAGTGAAGTCTGTAAACTTGGAGTGGGGGAATGGCCCTGGGGAGGGGAGTCTGGTTAATGTCCTTGTCTAACTACTCACAGGGTTACTGTCTGGTCAACCACCCTTGCTCAATCCCAGAGTCCTTCATGGAGAGGATCCATATTGGATATGTCTAACACCCTGCAATCCGCCCTTTCCTGCCTAGCTCTTACAATCTCACACACCCACCTCTTCCTCGAGCTTCTCTGAGCCTGCAGGGTAGGGGGGAAATGAGAGCAGTGCTCCCTTCCCTGGTTTATTAAAGTATTGCAGACATACAAATATACACCACACCAGCAAGACAGGCAAATTCAAAAAATGATTCCACCTATTACAATGCAAAAAAGCCCAAATAATAATTTTTTCCATCATGTTCCTCACCCAGAGAATCACCCTTTGATCTCCGTCCACCAGAAGCCCTTCCCCATATGTTCCATGCAATCTGGTTGGGTTTGTAAGTGAGCAATGGAGTGGTTTACGAGGGCTGCATTATCAGGAATATGTACACAACATTCAACTTTTAATAAAGCACAGGTGCCTCCTTGGGCTGCCATTATCATGTCCATTCTGTTCTGGAGCACCGCCTTCCTCAAGACAGCAGTTGCTTCATTGAGAGCAGCAAGCCCATGTTCAGTATCATTTAGGGAAGTGGTCACAAACTTCTGTAGCATCTCAATTTTGGTTGTAATAATATTGCCAGACTGGAAGTGAAAGTAGCAGATAAGTAATCCCACCAAGAAAATACAGATCGTTTACTCCACCACCTCCTCCAAATGGGTTCATTGTAAGGGGTGAGTATAACCTTTGAAATGTGGGAATGGATCCAAGAAAAGCATAGAGTGCATGTACCCAGCCAGTGGGGGGTGGGAGTCAGCCACAGCTGGAGATTAGTGCCACATAGCCACTGTGCCTTCCGTTAGGGGCTACCCAATATCTTCCTGGAGGGAGAAAGAGAGCGGAGTCTGGTCAGTGTCCTTGTCTAACTGTGGATGGGGTTACCAGACTTCTTTATGGGAATGATCCATATTGGCTATGTCTAAAACACTGCAGATGGGTATATTTAAGTTCTCAGGGTCACAGTATCCACTGGAAGTAAATTTCGGGATCAGTTATGTTTCTGCTGATAATTTTTTAATTTAATGGATTTTAAACGTCTGAAACACAGAGGAATACATGTTTTAAATGATGTAAAAATTAATCTGAAGCTACTAAAATCTTGAGAAGGATCTGAAGGACTACTGTTAAATTTACCGTATTATCCCAGAACCCCTAATATTTTAACTCTTTAGCCATTTTGGACCCAGCATCTGTCAGTTTGTCATATTGTGGTGGCTTACGTGTTGCTGTGATGCTGGAAGTAAAAGAGCTGAACAGAAGATTTCAAAGGGCGGCTTGAGAAGGCAAAGTAAAGTATTATAGTGAAATGTGCAAAGACCTGGAGATAAAATACCAAAAGGGAAGAACACACTTGGCATTTCTCAAGCTGAAAGAACTAAAGAAAAAATTCAAGCCTCTTGTTGCAATATTGAAAAATTCTACTGGGAAAATGAACAAACGACACAGGAAGCATCAAAAGAAGATGGAATATAGAGTCACTGTACCAAAAAGTATTGGTTGACGTTCAGCCATTTCAGGAGGTAGATAGAATATGATCAAGAACCAGTGGCACTAAGAGAAGGATTCCAAGCTGCACTGAAGGCACTGGTGAAAAACAAGGCTCCAGGAATTGACCGAATGCCAATTGAGACGTTTCAACAAATGGATACAGCACTGGAAGTGTTCACTCTTCCATGCCAAGAAATTTGGAAGACAGCTACCTGGCCGTTGGACTGGAAGAGATCCAAATTTGTGCCCATTCCAAAGAAAGGTGATCCAACAGAATGTGGAAATTATCAAACAATATCATTAATATCACACACAAGTAAAATTTTGCTGAAGATCATTCAAAAGTAGTTGCAGCAGGGAACTACCAGAAATTGAAGCCAAATTCAGAAGAGGACAAGGAACCAGGTATATCATTGCTGACTTCAGACATGTTGACTGAAAGCAGAGAATACCAGAAAGATACTTACCTGTGTTTTATTGACTATGCAAAGGCATTCGACTGTGTGGATTATAAAAAATCCTGGATGACATTGCAAAGAATGGGAATTCCAGAACACTTAATTTTGCTCATGAAGAACCTGTACATAGCCCAAGAGGCAGTCGTTCAAACACAATAAGGGGACACTGCATGGTTTAAAATCAGGAAAGGTGGGCATCAAGGTTGTATTATTTCACTAAGAATCATGGCCCAACCAAGTTAACACACAACCTTAATGATCACAGTCCACCCCTTGTCAGTTTGGCACCTATACACATCTCCTTAAACCATGTATAATCTCTGAATAAGGACAATTGTAAAGTCATACTTGCATCTAACATACATACAACCGAATATGCACCAGCCCTGTTTACATACATTTTATATGTGAAGAAAACAAAAATATTTGATGCACACATACAAGGCAATTACAGTCATTGTTTCTGCAACTGGTCACATGGTCGTAACTTGTATTTAGAAATACCTTCTTCCACCACCCATTCCGTATTCCCTTTTCCCTCAGCAGGCACCTCAGCTAGTCGTGGTTCTTCCCGTTTGGGTAACCCAAACTTTCATTCCAGAAGGATCTGGGCCATTAGTAGTCATGTCAGAATTGGGTTGCTGTAGTTTCCCATTGTCTTTAATCACAGGGCATGGTAGTACTAAGAGATGCCCTCAGGGATTTCCTGTATTCCAGACATACTCTTCGTTGCCTCTATTATGTAATATCAATCCGATTTCCTCTTGGTAATCGGGATAAATCACACCAGCCTGGTAACTCCTTTCTTTGCCTGTTGATCCAGAGACATAAGGAGCCCAAAATGGCATTCTTAACTTCCAGTTCAGTGGAATCAGTGATGTGTCTCCAGGTAACAGCATTCTTCCCTTTGGAACTAAGACCTCTAGATCTGCAGAGCATAAGGTCACGGGGACAGGAAGGAAAAAATTTTGTGAGTGGTTCACTAGGGGTAATAGTGTGGTGCCACTCCATTTCCACTCCTTGATTCCTGGATCCACGAATCCTGGCTATGGAAGAAATAACGCCATGTGTTGCAAGCTGGTTTATAGCACGTACAGCCTCCTGGAGAACATTGCCCCAACACTGCAAGGTATTGCCACCTAACTGGTGCCATAATTGTGTCTTTAGAAGGCCATTCTATCATTCTGTCAAGCCAGCTGCTTCAGAATGATGGAGAACATGGTAAGACCAGTGAATTGGATAATTCTGAATATTAGAGATTTGATTTCCCTATCAGGTCTAATGCCTTTTCTTCTGCTGGAAGGTCATCTGGTGTTTTATTTTGGATGCCTGCTGGAACCATCCTGTCCTGTTTTTGTAAATGTTTTGATATTGTCTGCTGTCTTTGGGGCATTCAGTGGTTATTTTCCTCATTTATTGATTGTAGATTTGTTTGTTTCTTCCTGCTTTTTTGTTTTATTTGGTTATGTCTGAGCAGACGGGCTGTGTGTTCCTTGTTTGCTCCTCATTTGGCACAATACTTTTCACCTCCTTCTCCAATGGGCAGGGTCAGTCACTCAGGTATGGTACAGCAGGGCAGGTCCAGCTGAAGGGGAGTTGCTAGGATGGGTTATTTCTGGCACGTACCAGGGCTGACAGTGCGGACCAGGCATCAGTGCAAGGCAGGTTCCAGTAGGCCATGCCTGTGCTGCTTGGGAGTGTGATGTTCAGTGCACAGTGCAGGTAGGCAGGAAGGAGGGGGTAGATTGTGAT